AAGAGTGAGGAAGGGGCTTTTCCCAGGCTGCTTTTGTTTTGGTTTTCCAGAAGGGGGGAGATGGTTCAGGCTCACCCAGGAGAACTCACTCAATCTGTCATGGCTTTGCATCTCATTATCAAGCATATAAGCTCTGGGGGGTTCTCGCCAAAGTTCAGAGGGTTACCAGAGTTGTTCCCCGTCTAACTGGCTGCCTCACAAGTTCCAAGTTCCATTGCACTTTTTTTTTTTTTTTCCATGACCCCAAACCAACCCTTCAAACCCGGAGGTAGCATATCCATCCCCACACGTTGTGCCTCTGTCCTGGTTTCTCTGAACTGTCCTTCTGTGCTTGTCTCCCTTGGAATCCTGTCATTTCTCTTTGGAACAGTCCTGAAAAATGGCTTTGCCTCATTGCCCACGCTCAGATGCGTATGTAGCATTCTAAAGTTCCCTGCTACGGGCTTAGCGTTGTAACGTGTTTTGTAAAAAATTATTTTACTAGGGCCGCTTTGCGTTCCTGAACTAGTATCTCACAGAGCTTAAGCGAGAGAGTTTATTGAGTGTAGATTGATCTGAAAAATAGATTCTGGCATCATTGTCATATAGGGCCAAGGATCTGGGAGGATTCTGTTTAGAGCCAGGAGTGATCTAGGAACATATGAGCCACTAGGCGGGCTTGCTAAATGGAGAGCCTGTGTAACAGTCTCTTACATGAGGCAAAAACAGCAAGGAGCTTAAATCAAGCCCGTGAGAGTGCCCGTTAGACTAGGAAATTGGAAGCCTGCGTCACTATAATGCAGTAATATTCAAGTAGTAGTGGGACCTTTCATGTTTGCTTCCAGAAGGGGACACTGTTCCCTAGTCCCAAACCCTAGTATCTGGAAAGACCCATCTCTGGTTGAATGTATGTCTAGAGTGTGTCAGGGGCTAGCAAAGAGCAGGACACTTGGCCCTTGGGAGGGTGTCTGAGCCAAGGGCTCGCTGGAAGGGTGAACCCTTTGCCACGAATCTTGAAAACACACTGGAGCAGCCTTGCTGCTGGCATTTCCAATCAGAAATGACCTCGAAGCAGCTGATTGAACCTAAGAAAAACCGACACCAACTCTGAGTATGATCGTGGGGTTTTGTAAGTAAACCGTTGGAAAGCGTATTTATAGGACATGAAATGGAAATGTGGAAGTGGAAAAGAAAAATGTTAGCCCTCACGCCTATGCCAGTCAGTGCCGTGGGTTTCAAGGCCTGCTCTCCTTCTCTACACAGCTTAGGCGTGGCGCTCTCCAGGGGCCATGGGAAGTATTTCTTCCGAGGGAACGTGACCATCGAAGAAGGTAAGATGCTGTCTCAGCTCAGCTTACCCTTTGGTGTGGGGAAGAAAGCTCTGGACCCAGCTGTGGGGTTAACTGAAGAACTTGCTCATCTGTCCATCATTTCTTGGTTATTTAACTCAAATAGTTGCCCCAATGTTACCCTTCTTGCCTATATTACCTAGCATTCAAGATGGTGGATGGCTTTTGTTATGACTTCATACATCATTTTAATCCACAGAGCTGTTGAGACAACCCATGAGAATCATTCATCAAGTATATTCTTCTCATGCATAAATATCAGTACCCCAAGAAATACAAAATAATGGAAAAACTCAAACCCAGGGGGGAACAAAAACTAACATACGGAAACAAAAACTAAGATACAATTGAGTCACAAATTTCACAGGTGTTTCATGGCAGCCCTGGTCCAAAACTATGACCACTTAACTGGTTTTCATAGGTCAGAAGGTATAAGTTGCCTAGCACCTGGAGGTTCCAGATCTTCTTGCCTTCATTGAGCATAGGTGCATGGTGAACACGCAGTAGGCAGTTGCAACTGTTACACATCTTTAAACTTCAAAATCACTGTCACACATAGGTTGTCCTATTAATTGTCCACCAACCCAGTAGTACAGAGAAGTTACCCCTCCCAACATCACAGGTTTATAGGGACCTGTGGTCTCTGCAAGACTCCATCCCCCAAGTAGCCTTGAGTGAGGCCCTTATTCAAAGTGAGCATTAGGTCTCATACCTGCCGTGAGAAGGAGTTGGACCAGGCTGGTGTTCTCTCCAGATGTCTCCAGGGAGAACAACCAAGAGTAGAAAAACAGCCTAAGACAAGGTTTTGTTGGTTAGAGCTGATTCCAAATGAATGTGGGGTTGTCCAGAGCCTGTGGCTCACTCAGATGCTGTATCAGGGATGAAGAAGGAGCCCCATGGTCTCTGAGATGCCGGGGTCCCTCGACAGCCTTGCGGTTACTGCTCACTGCTCCTGCATTGTTTCACGGTGAGGGCCTGTATCTCCCAAGTGAGCATGAGGTCTTATGGAACAGAACAGTGAGGGGCTCACTGTGGCCTAGGCAGAACCCAGAGTGTGTCCACCATAGTGCTAAGCAAGTGGTCTCTCTAGCCAGAGACAGGCAAGAGAAAATAGGCCGCTTTGAGACTTGAACAAGATTCTCTATGGGGTGTGTTCTCAGAGATCATGTTTTAACTTCTAGAATGTTCTAGCTCTGTGTGAGCCTATGGATAGCACTGTCCCTGAAGCCTGAAATTTCACGTCTAAGCTGTCTGAGCTTAGAAGGAAACGGCCGTGGACAGAACAATAGGAGAGGTTATAAATGGGTTACTTGCCTCTCACATGCGCATTCCCTCTGTCAGAAATCCATATATGACCTGCCGCTCCCTCTGTTTCTCTTCCCTCTCTCTCTCCCTGTCCCCCACCTCCATCCCTCCCTGCCTCTCCCTGTCTTGTCCTCTCACACAAATGTTTTGCATTGTCTCCTGGATCACGTTTTAGTCACTCTGTTCATCCTGGATGTCCCACAGCTGTTAGGCTAAGCAGTCACATAGAGAGAATTTCAGCGCTAACTGTAACCACCCTGCAAGAAATTAGTTTGAATCCTCAGCAAGGGGGCGAGTGTCTGGTTATCCACACAAATGAGGTCAGATCTTCCTCTCTCTGTGGGTCCCTCTGTAAATAAAAGGACCTACACGCCTGCCAACTTTGCTGAGTAAGAGCAAAGCTGCTTCCCCTTAGGCTAACTAGTAGAGGGTCTTGTCATCTCCAAGAGACAGCCTGATTATTGTTCTCTTCTGTTCTTGGAGAGGGAAGGAGTTCCGTGGGGTTGCCAACTGCACTCCTGTAGTATCTCCAGTAAGGAATGCTTCTGCAGGGACTTTTCGCATTCTTTGCCAATGCCAGATATTGCAAAGATGGGGACCAGGTTGACTGTGCTCAGAAATGCAGAGAGACATCATCACTGAGGTTGAACGTGTGGGCTGCCGTTCTACCTGCCGGAATGGTTTCTCTTCTGAGTCTCCTGTGACACATGGTATCTTTCATATGTAGTATCCACAATAGCTGTGCACGAACTAGAACATCTGTCATTATTGTCTGCGGTATCAGCTCTCAGTAGTTGTGATTTTATCAGAAGGACCAAAATCAGAGGTGACAGAATTAGAGAACAATTCAATTTCCTTGGTACCCGGGGACCTCAGAGAAGGAGCAAGCAAACAGACCTCCCCTTCAGGGTCTCGAGTAGGTCCTGTGACACATAGCCAGAGAGGGCTTCATGGATGGAGGCTGACTGGGCCTGAAATGGGGCAAACAGAATTGATATCCTTAAGCCAGCATGCCGGGAGAGTACATCCCACCTCAGGGCCTTCGCACTTGGTGACCCTTCTGCCGCAAACACTTCCTTTCTTATTTGCATGGCTCTGTCCCCTGCCTCCTTCTGGTCTTCACTGAAGAGTCACTTTCACAGTGAAGGCTTCCCTGATCACTATAGTTAGAGACAAAACTCTGTCTTTCCACCCTTTCCACCTTCTGGCCCTCCTTATCCTTCTTCCTTGTAACCCTCACCACCAACTGGTATGCTATGTATTTTCATTTTTGTTTTAAGTATCTCTTTTCTGCCACTAGTAATTAAATACACAAAGGCAGTGATTTTTGTTCTGTCCACTGCTCTATTCTCCGAGGCTGGAGTCATACTCAGCATATAGCAGATGCTCAGTAAAAATATCCAAAGAAGGAGTGCAGGAGGAAGGGAGGAAGAGAGGAAAGGGAGGGAAAAATAAAGGAATGAAAGTGTATCATTCTGTGCATGAACAAATGGCCCTAGGGACTAACCACGATCCCACTTAACCATCTACGGAGTTCCCAACATGAGCAGTGTTGCCTCCATCTCTTGTTGATATAATTCAGAGTTGATGTGACTTTGCCAAGGTCATTCAAGCAGTAGGTGTTGGAGCCCACATGTGGTCACCTGGGCCATTCGTGATGATGGGCAATCTGATTTATCCCCCCTTCCTTCAAGGTCAAGCAGGAGCCTAGGTCTAGAATTTTGTGCTCTATTTTGCATATCTGTATTTGAGGAGGAAACAGGCTCTGAGAGGGGTAAGATACTATTGGCTAGCCGATGCTAAGGCAGGTTGTAGCTGTCATCAGAAGTACACGTTTGCAAGGGGACTAGCAGTTAGTGTAAATGGCTGTTCCTGGACTCCCATGTAGTCGACTGTGGTTCGAGTCCCGGACCCGGTGGCTTGAACTCACGCTGGGCGCGTGTGCGTGCGTGCCCGAGATCCTGAGAGGAGAATGGAGGAGAAGGGATTGCACCCCCGGGGGGTGATTTCTCACTTTCTGTCTCTCTGTCTCTCTCTGTCTTTCCGGCAAGCACACACACCCTCTAGCGAAAAAAAAGAAAAAGAAAAAAAAAGGAAGTAAACCTTCCAGAAGTACACGTTTGCAGATAGTCCATCAAAATCAAGTCACATGAAGACATAAGGAAAGAGCAATTTCACACAGATAGGGAGGTCTGGAGCTTTCTCAAAAAACTCCCAGATTCCTTGCAAGCCCCAGTGCCCTTAGCAGTGTCCCAGCTGGGTGACTCCTATTTACTTAGGATTCTGTAACAACTAGCAATTTTTGCTGGTCAAAAACAGTTGCGTACTGATAATTTGGTATTGTTCAAACTCTAATTGCACCCTCATTACCACCCATTGGGTCAGGACTATCATTATTCCTGTTTTGCACGTGAAGAAACTGACATTTAGCAAAGCAGAGTAACCTGATAACATCCCCCAGAGTTAAGTGGCGCAGTTCAATTTCCAGTGCAGCTGCAGACCGTATGAAGACACCAGAGTCAGTGCTTCTAACCATCCTGTTAAGCCTCTCACCTGGGACTTGGTAGTGTGTCATTTACCTCTAAGAGGTCCAGACTTTCCTGGGTTCGCTAGCTGGGGACAGCCAGTGCTGGCTGAGTGAGGTGTAGATAGGGAGAGAATTCTGCCTGGGAAGAACTGGTTTTGTGTGTTCAGAGTCCCTGTTCCTCAGCTGGTTGTTGATGTCTCTCCCCGTACCTCACAGCCCTACTCTGGAATATCCAAAGCACATAGGAAGCTGAGGGGGTGTGGTCCACTCAGTAACCCCCCTCTCCTTTCCCTCCAGGCCTGCATGACTTAGAACACCCCGACGTGTCTCTGGCAGATGAATGGTAAGAGTTAAACCACCCTTGGGACCAGCAGATGACATAATGGTTACATTGCTGGGCTCCCACAGTCAACTGGAGTTCGAGTCCCGGACCCAGTAGCTTAAACTCACACCAGGCACGTATGTTTGCGTGTCCAAAATCCCAAGAGGAGAATGGAGGAGAGGGGATTGTGGTGTGGTCATGCCCCTGGTGGATGATTTTTTGCTTTTGATCTCTCTGTCTGTCTGATGAGCGCATGCACTATATAGCAAAAATCTCTCTCTCAAAAAAAAGAGTTAAACCACTCTTCACTGATACCTGTGGCCCTCTTTGATCTCAGTTGGTGTCTGCTCCTTGCCTGTTTCCGTGGCTCAAAGGCTAAGAGAGGCAGTGCTGCAAATATTGATATGCTTCCGTTTGGGCCCTGTCCTGTCCGCAGGTCCTACTGCAACACTGACCTACACCCCGAGCACCGTCATCTGTCCCAGCTAGATGCCATTAAGCTCTACCTCAGAGGCAAAGAACCTCTGCTGCAATGTGAGTGTACCTGGCATGGGGGGTGGGGTGGGTGTGAACACAGAACCAGTGTTGGCCTCGGTTTTTAGGGGGAAGCTTTGTTTTGGCCAAGACTCCCAGGCCTGTGAAACCCGGCCAAACGTCTGCTTCCTGAAGGAGAAGGAGGAAGCATGTGGGTTATGGAAAATCGCGCAGAATCCCCCGTCCAGGGTTCCCCCCTTGTGTTGGATGTGTCCCCCTGCCTAACCATTTAGTCAAGCAAGTGAGCAGGATGGGATGCTCAAACTGGGTGGAGACCATAAATACATGATAAATGAGAAACCACGCTGGAAATAGTACTGTGTCATCCAAGGCCGTAAGGTAGGTCTCTGGTCTCCAAGAGCGGGGCATCGCTGGGAGTGGGTGACTCTCGTGTGGCATGTGCTCTCCTTCCTCTGCTCCTCCCAAGTGTCTCTGGGGCAGCCCAATGGATAAGGCACGTACAAAAGAGGCAGGGGGAGCAGCTGTGGGCCCAGGTGCTCCCCAAAGGTGGGAGCAGACCCTGTACTATCACAAGGTAGTTCCCATGGCTAAAGCTAGGGTGGTGGGGAGACTCCTCCAGACGAGTGTGGCACCTGCTCCCACCTCCAACAAGCATCACTTACTGAATGGCATGCAAAGTCTTCCCCATATGTAATCTTACACAGTAACAAAGCAGTCCTGTGAGAACTGTAAGGAGGTTATCGAATGGATGTATTATGGGGAATGT